CTCCCCCGGACGAAGCCGCGGCCCTGAGAGAGCGTTCGAGGTAAAACACGGACCGGTAGTCAGCCGCAGATCTCCCGCAGGTACGCCGCCGCGGCGTCGACGCGGTCCGCGGCCTCCCGGACCTGGGCGTCCGCCTCCGCGAGCCGGCCGTCCTCGACGGCGTGCACGGGCCCCGGGAACGACGTCGCGCCGTAGCCGAGGTAGTAGCCCGGCGCCTGGAGGACGTGCCGGTACCACGGCCGCTGGGGCAGGCCGGCGCCTACGAAGCATGACGGTGATTCCCACCCCAAATCTCTCGAAACTCGTACGCTGGCCGGCGCCGAGGAAGCGGCGCTCGAAGAGCGCGAGGTGGTCGTTCGCGTCGTCGCAGGCGGCCCCGGCGCACGCGGCGGCGGCGGCCTCGGCGCACGCGGCCGCGCCCGCGAAGCTCGCCGCCGCGGCGCGCAGCGGCGCGACGCCCAGGGTGCCGTTCGCGTACTGTTCGAGCTCGTTTACGTACGCCGCGACGGCCCGCGCCTCCGTCGTCGGCGCGACGGGCAGGACGCGCGCGTCCGCGAGGCGGAAGACGAGGAGCGCCAGCAGGCGCGCCGCGGCCGCGTGGTGCTCCCAGTCCGGGTCGATGACCGCGTCGACGTAGGCGTAGGAGTCGTAGACGCTGTGGTACGTGCCGTAGGTCCCGGCGGGGCCCTGAAACGAGAAGTCGAGCGACGGGATGCCCAGGTGGTCGACGAACGCCGTGTAGTCGGACCCGGAGCCCAGCGTGCCGAGCTTGCTGACGCCTACATGATACGACCGCGTCGGTTTCCTCGGGTAAAAAACGGCTCGAGGACGCCGGCCGACGCCGTCGATGGCCGCCTTGCCGTCCTCGGAGTCGCCCGCGGCGACCCAGAGCTCGTCGAGCGCGACGGCGGCGCCGCCCCGGACGACGTGCGCGTCCGCGGCGGCCGCCGCGAAGAGGCCGTCGAGGGACTGGGTCCCCGCGGCCTCGAGCGTCGCGTTGCCGCCGACGGCGACGTCGACGTTGACGTAGGCCGTCGCGTGCTCGAGCGCGCCGCGGGCCTCGAGCTCCGCGTAGGCCGTCGACCCGAGCAGGCCGTACTCCTCGCCGGACCAGGAGCAGAGCACGACGGTCCGCCGCGGCCGCCAGCCCGCGTCCCGCGCCGCCGCGAGCGCCCGCGCCGCCTGTGCCGAAAGCAACCACTGTCTCAGGGGGCCCTGACAAAACTTCAAACCTCTCTAGCTCGGTCAAATCGAAGTCGATTCGGCTGAGGACGAATCGATTGCTCTCATCGAGTTCTCCACGGAGATCAGAGTTGCGTCGAACCTGTCGAACATGCTCACATTGAAGTCGGGTTGAAGATTTGATTTCGGCCCAGCGCGCCGCCTCGAGGAGCGCGACGGTGCCCGAGTGGGGGTCGACGGCGCCCAGGACCCACGCGTCGCGGTGGTTGCCCGCGTAGACGGGCCGCGGGAACGCCGCGTCGTCGCCGGCGAGCGTCGCGACGACGTTCGGGACCGCGCCCTCCGCGTACTCGTTGTCCACGTGGAGGCGGAACGTCGCCCGGGACGGGCCGAGCGCGTAGGCCACGGCCAAGCCCCCCCGCGAACGACGCCGGCGCCGCGGGGCCCCCGAGGAGCTCGAGGATGGGCAGCGCGTCCTCGTAGGACAGCGGCAGCACGGGATGTTTCGGCACGTAGCTCACGTTGCCGCAGGGGTCCGGCGCGTCCGCGTCGAGGTACAAACGGAAGGGGTCGCCCGCGCAGAGGCTCAGGTACTGCGCGGAGCCGCGCTGGACGCCCTGCGGCGGGCGCCAGGGCCCCGCGGGGTACGTCGGGCCCCACGTGAAGCCGTCCTGCTGCGGGTCGCTGTAGATGAGCGTCGCGACGGCGCCGCGCGCCTCCGCGTTCATGGCCTTGAGCCCGCGGAAGCAGCCGCCGTAGCGCGTCAGCGCGATCTTGCCCCGCACGTCGACGCCCGCGGCCTCGAGCGCGTCGAAGTCGCTCGGCATCCCGAAAGTTCGCGTAGACCTGGGGTTCGCGGGTCGGGTCGGGTCGGGGGTTCGAAGCCGCGCGACGCCGGGAACGACGACGGGCGCGCCGACGTCGCCCGACGGCGCGTACGCGTTGAAGGTCATGTTCCGGTACCAGTTGTCGCTCGTCGGGTCGGCCGCGAGCACGTCCTCGGCGAGCTTGGCCTCGTAGACGACCGCGCCGCCCTCGACGGCCGAGAGCGTCGGCGGGCCCGCGGGCAGGTGGGTCATCACGGGCACCTCCTGGATCTCCGCGTCGAAGCCGAGGCGCCGGAGCTCGTCGCGCACGTAGCGCGCGTTGGCGTGGTCCCCGGGGCTGGCCATGAGGTGGTCGAATTGTGTTAAGTTGTACATGTGAGATCGCAGCAGCTGCGGCTCCGGCGTGTCGATGAGCACGCGCTCCAGCGGAAGGAGCGCGGCGAGCGCGCCGGGGAGGAGGAGCGGGAGCCGCATTGCCAGACCGTCGATCGGGAGAGCGGAATGGTTGCATCTCGGCTGCCACACAAACCAGTGACTTCACGGTGGACGGCACTCTCTCTCTTCAACTCTTCGACCAGCGATTCCATCGACCTCGCTTCGCCGCCGCCGCCGTCGTCGCACTGTTGCCGTCAGCGATGCTCAAGGTCTTGCTCCTCGCCGCGTCCGCGCTGGCCTTCGCGCCGCCGCGCGCGGCCCTGCGCCCCCCGGCGCCGGCCCTCGCCTCGACGGCGGCGCCCGAGGCGGAGACGTTCCAGTTCAGCGCCGAGACGGACCGCGTCATGGAGATCATCATCAACAGCCTCTACAGCGACAAGGACGTGTTCCTGCGCGAGCTCGTGTCCAACGCCGCCGACGCCTGCGACAAGAAGCGCTTCCTGTCGCTGTCCAACGGCGAGGCCGCGGCCGACGCGCTCCGCGTGCGCATTACCGCGGACGCGGACGCGAGGACGCTGACCATCGAGGACACGGGCGTCGGCATGAGCCGCGACGAGCTCGTGACGAACCTCGGCAAGATCGCGCGGTCTGGCACCAAGGCCTTCAGCGAGGCGCTCGGCGACGGCGCGTCCGACGACGTGAACCTCATCGGGCAGTTCGGCGTCGGCTTCTACTCGGGCTACCTCGTCGCGGACAAGATGACGGTCCTCACCAAGTCCATGAACGGCGGCGGCGTCCACAAGTGGGAGAGCGACGCCAAGGCGGGCTACACCGTGGAGGCGAGCGACGAGGCGCTCGAGGGCGACTCGGGCACGAAGATCACGCTCGCCTTAAAAGAGGACTGCGCCGAGTACCTCGAGGACCTCACGCTGCGCAAGCTCCTCAAGCGCTACAGCGAGTTCCTCCAGTTCCCCATCGAGCTCTACACGGAGAAGACGGAGTACGAGTCCGTCGTCGACGAGGAGAAGTCCAAGGAGGGCGAGGATCCCGGTCATGAAGTCCGTGCCCAAGGCCGTCCAGGGCTACGACGTCGTCAACTCCATGCGGCCCCTCTGGCTCCGGCCGCCCAAGGAGGTCAACGGTACGGAGCACACGGAGTTCTACCAGTCGGCCTTCCGCGCGTTCGACGAGCCCCTCAAAACGATCCACTTCTCCCTCGAGGGCCAGGTCCAGTTCAAGGCGCTCCTCTACGTGCCGAGCCGCATCCCCTTCGAGCTCAACAACAACATGTTCGACGAGAGCGCCAACGCCATGAAGCTCTACGTGAAGCGCGTCTTCATCAACGACAAGTTCGATCTGGTCCCCCGGTGGCTCGTCTTCCTCCGGGGCATCGTCGACTCCGAGGACCTGCCGCTCAACGTCGGCCGCGAGATCCTCCAGAAGTCGAAGATGCTGTCCATCATCCAGAAGCGCCTCGTGCGCAAGTCCATCGACGCCTTCCAGGACATCGCGAAGAACGAGACGTCCTACGACTCCTTCTGGACGAATTTCGGCAAGTACATCAAGGTCGGCGTCGTCGAGGAGTCCGGCGACGTCCAGAAGGACCTCGGCGGCCTCTGCCGCTTCTTCTCGACGAAGTCGGGCGACGGCTACACGACGCTCGCGGAGTACGTCGAGCGCATGCCGGAGAACGCGACGAAGATCCTCTTCGTCTCCGGCGAGTCCAAGGCGGGCGCGGCGATGTCGCCGGTGCTCGAGCGCCTCAAGAAGGAGGACTACGAGGTGCTCCTCCTCCCGGAGCCCCTCGACGAGCTCGTCGTCCAGAGTTTGGCGGAGTTCGACGGCAAGAAGTTGATCGACGCGTCGAAGGACGACCTCGAGGACATCTTCAAGGACGACGACGACGACGACGACGACGCGGGCGACCTCGAGCGCGTGCTCGACTTCCTCAAGGACCACCTCGGCAAGAAGATCACGGGCGCCAAGGTCTCGAAGCGCCTCACGTCGTCGCCCGCGGCGCTCGTCGAGGGCGCCTACGGCATGTCGCCCGTCATGCGCCGCTACATGCAGGCGCAGGCGACGACGGCCGACGACTTCAACGCCTACGGCACCGCGAGCCCCGTCATCGAGATCAACCCCAAGTCGCCCGTCGTCCTCGCGCTCCGCGACGGCGACCTCGACACGCCGGAGGCCCGCGACTCCGCGGACCTCCTCTTCGACGTCGCGTCGCTCACGGGCGGCTACGACATCGCGGACGCGGGCGCCTTCGCGACCAAGGTCACGGCGCTCATGGGCGGCGTCACCATCCCGCCGAAGCAGGACGAGCCCGAGGAGGAGCCCAAGGACGTCGAGGTGCTCCCCTAGGGGGCCGCGCGCGAGGAGCCTAAGAAGACCCAGGACGTCGGGGCGGCCCTGCAGCTGGAGGAGCTCGACGACATCCCGGGCGAGTGCTCCTTAGTTCGCGGCGGCGCGGGCGCCGGCCTTCTTCTTCCGCTTCCACGCGTCGTGGTCGTCGCGGACCTGGAGGACCTGGTCCACGGACGGCCCGAGGTCCTCGACGTGGTGGAGGTAGAGCTCCCAGAGGGTCGCCTGGTCCGACCGCGCGAGGCCCGCGTCGTCGCCCAGGGCGTGTTTGAAGAGGAGGGCGACGCGGTCCATGGCGTGGCCGTCGTCGGCCTGGGCCTCGAGCGTGTAGTAGGCGACCCAGAGGTCTCGGGTGGCCGGGTTCGCGCCTGTGCCGAAACCAACCACTGGTTTGGGGGGTCCCCACCAAACTTGAGAATTCTCTAGCTCGGTCAAATCAAAGTCGATTCGGCTGATTTTTGGACGGATCGATCGCTCTCGTCGAGTTCTCGAAGCACAGTGAAAGAGTCTGGTCCAAATCGTTCGAATACGCTCACATTGAAGTCGGGTTGAATATTTGGTTTCGGCACAGGTTCGCGCGGATCGCCGCCTCCAAGGTGCACCGGGCCGCGTTCGCGTCGCGGAGCACCGTGTGCTGGAAGCGCGCGAGGTGCGCGGCCACGAAGGCCTTGACCGTCGCCGACGTCGCCCGCGCCAGCGCGTCGCGGTAGATGGCGACGACGTCCTCCAAATTGCCGCAGCGGCGCTCGAACTGCGCGAACGCGACGACCGCCTCCAGCAGGCCCGGCGCGACGCGCTCGCAGACGTCCTCGTAGACGTCGCGCGCCGCGTCGACGCGGCCCGCCGCCTCGTGAAATAAGGCCAGCAGCAGGCGCAGGTCCGGCGCCTGCTTGAGGAAGGCCGCGCCGCGCTCGAGCGCCGCCGCCGCCTCCGCCGGATCCTCGAGCCACGTCGCGTAGCGGCACCAGAACTCGGGGTAGTTGGCGCAGACCACGAGGCAGCGCTCGTACAAGGCCCGCGTGCGCGCGGCGTCGCCCTGGCGCTCCTCGAAGTCGAGGTACGCGCGCCACGCGGCCAATTGGCCGTCGTCGAGCGGCTTCACGTGGTAGTAGGCCCGGCGGAGCCGGAGCTCGTAGGGCGCGCGCGCCTTGTCGCGCTTCCGCGCCTGATTGTTCTCCGCGCCGCAGGCGCAGAGGAAGTCGTCGCAGGTGCCGCAGTCCGGCCCCCAGTCGTCGACGGCCGCGGCCAAATCGCCGACGAGCTCGAGCACCTCCTCGCGGCCCGGGACGCCGAGGTCGTCGGGCTCCGTCGTCTGGGCCGCGCCGCAGGCCTGGCGGTAGGCCGCGAGGAGCCGCACCTTGTCGCCCAAACCCTCCTCGTAGCGGCAGAGCGCGCGGAAGACGAGCGGGCTCCGGGGGTCGTACGCGGACGCGGCGCACGCGCGCGCGAGCACGCCGCGGACGCGCGGCGGCGGCAGGCCGCTCTCGAGGGCGAGGAACTCGCCGTACTTGACCCAGAGGTCGACCGACGCGCCGCCCGTCGCGGCGACGCCCCGCTCGTAGACCGCGCACGCCTCGGACGCCGCGGCCTCGAGGTCGCCGCCGGACTCGCGCATCGCGCGCGCGTAGACGCAGCGCGCGTACTTGTTCCAGTAGCCGTAGAGCTGGGGGAAGTTCGCGAGGAACTGGCCGAAGATGGACTCGAGCATGGCGTTCTGCGACGCCTCCGCCTCGGCGAGGAGCAGGCTCCAGGACGCGAAGCAGCTCGCGTTGAGGCGCACCTGCTCGAGGCACCGCTTGAACGCCGGCGTCCCCGCGGGGCCGTCGCCGGACACGTCCTCCTCGCCGTCGGGACCGTCCTCGCCCGTCTCCATGGCCTCGGCGGGCGGTGGCTCGTCCACGGCTGCCATCGTCGTCTCCGCGAGCGGTAGCGAGCAGCTCCTGAGACGAGCTCGACCCCCGGCGACGTGCTGCGCGCCCGCGCCGCGCAGGCCTCCGCGCCCCCTCATGAAAGTCCCCATGACGGTCCTCGCCGCTTACGCCCTGATCGCCCGCTCACTCCTGGAGGATGCGGAGGCGGGGGTCGGCGCAGAGCTTCTCGTCGAGGTCCTGGAACTTCTTGAGCGCGGTCTCCTCGTGGGACGCGAGGCGCTGCTCGAGGATCTGTATCCGGAACATGGCCTCGGAGCAGAAGCGCTCGAAGTCCTCCTCGGCGCTGGGGTCGTTGTCGCGCTGGTTGCGCTGGAACGTGGCCTGCTTCTTCGCGAGCTTCGCGTTCTCGTCGTTGAGGCGCGTCATGATGATGTTCGCGCGCTCGATGAGGCGCTCCTTGAGGGACTTGAGGCAGGAGTCGCGGGCGCGCTGGGCCTCCTCGTAGCTAATGGCGTTGAGGTCGTTGACGTTCTGGAGGAAGGGCGTGAGGTAGTCGACCTGGAGCCGGTCGATCGCGTCCTGGCTCTCGACGGCGGCCTGCTCCGTCTTCTCCTCGACGCGGCGCTCGCGCGCCGTCTCGAAGATGGGCCGGTCGACGACGACACTGGTTTCCTCGCGGCGGCGCAGCTTGAGGAGCTCGAGCATCTCGAGCTGCGACCGCCGGACCTCCGTGAGGCAGTCGCGCTCCGCGGCGAGCACGAGCTGCATGGACTCGGCGTCGCCGTCGCCGCCGCCGCCCGCCGCGGCGCCGCCGCCGCGGGCGTCGCCGCCGGACGCGGCCTGCGCGCCGGACGCGGACGCGGCGTTCGCGCCCGCGTGCCGCTCCTTCGTGTGCACGCGCGTGGAACGCGTGATGCGGAGGTCGTCGTAGTGGAACTGCGTGCGGATGCGGCCCTCCTGGACGTAGAACGTGCGCTTCTGCACGTCCTCGTCGGCCTTGCGGGCGGCGTTGCGCACGAACTTTTGCGTCATCTTCTGGACGATGAGCTCGCCGGCCGACTCGCCGCCGGGTAAGGTGTACTGGGGCTTGTTCGACCCCGTGACGCGGTCCTGCTTCACGGACACGGACCGGTAGACGAGCTGGTCCGGCCGCCCCTCGAAGCGCTCGATGATCTTGTGGCCGATGTCGTCCTCGCGGCACACCAAACCGTCCTGGCGCGCGGTCACGTAGAAGTAGAGCTCGCGGCGCCGGCCCGTGTACTCGACGAGCTGGCGCAGGCTGAAGACGCGGCCGGGCAGGAACTCCTCGATGAGCTTGCCCTCCAACGGGAAGCGCACGCGGTGGCTGAGCTTGTCGCGGCGATTCAGGAACGTCTCGCGGCACTCTTTCACGACGGTCCGCGCGGCGTCCTTGTAGATCAACAGGCGCACGGTCATGCCCTGGTCGTGGTGGTTCTCCGCGAAGAGCTCGAGCTTGGCCTTGTGGTACAGCGTCGTCCGCTGGCCGTCGGGCGGGTATCGCAAGGCGAAGTCGCCGCGGCTCACCGCGAGCTTCGCGACCCAGCTCGGCGGGATGTCGAGCAGGTTGCCGTCGTCCTCGTCGCCGTCGAGGGACGCCGCGCCCCCCAAACCGTCCATGCCGTCCGCGTTCTCCGTGTACATGTCGTCCTCCGCGCGCGCGCCAGAGCCGCCCGCCTGGCTCGCGGGGTCGATGAAGACGTACTCCCACAGATCCGAGTTCACCAGGTCGAAATCTAAATCGCCGACGGGCACGTCCGTGCCCTGCATGTTGACCCAGTAGTTCTTCGCGTTCCAAACCGCTTCGACGCCGCGGTACGGCGCGGCCTCGGGCGAGAACGCGCGGCCCGTCGTCGGCTCGACGTAGACCGTGGACTGGACGTCGCGCTTGAAGCCCCGGATCATGACCCAGGCGTGGAGCTGCTTCGGCGGCTCGGGCGCCTCCGCGCGGGGCTTCGCGGCCGCGTCGGCCTCGAGGTCGTCGTCGTTCGCGGCCGCGGCCTTGGCCTCGGCGGCCTTGCGCTCCGCCTCCTGCTGGGCGACGTAGCGGCTCGTCGGCACGCCCCGCGGCTTCGCCTCGTAGGTCGGCGGCGCGCCGTCGCCCACCTCCTTGGCCTTGGCCTCCTGCGCGACGGCGGCCTTCGCCGCCTCCTCGGCCTCGCGCTCCAAGATGGGCACGATCGTGTCGCTCTGGTCCCGGAGGCAGATCCAGGACGGGGCATACCCATAGACGACGTAGGCGTCGTAGCCCGCGCCCAGGAGGTAGGAGCAGAGGAGCACCGCGAAGTCGAAGCAGTCGCCGACCTTCCAGTCGAGGACCTGCGTCGGCGACGGCAGCACTTCCGGGTACTCGTTGGGCGACTCGAGGGGCTCGTAGTGGAGGTAGTTGGCCACGAAGTGGGCCAGCGTGCCGAAGTCGTAGATCTCGCGGTACGGCAGCAGCGTCGGCCGCAGCGTCGTGCACACGAACTTGGGCAGCCCCCACTCGTTGCGGGGCATGAGGAAGAGCTCGCGCCGGTCCGGGAAGAGCGCCGTGAACTTCTCGCGGAAGTGGCGCACGTACTCGAGGCACAGCGCCTCCTTCTTGCTGTCGCTCGTGTACGTCGACGGCACCGACGCCGGCGGGCTCCCGTCGCCGTCCTTCGTCAGCGCGCCGACGCGCCGCGCCTTCGTCGACTGGCGGCCGTCGCTCGTGAACGTCACCGCCATGGCCGCCATGGGGCCCGAAGAGAGCCGACGGGCCGACGCGAGGTGTGCGAGGTGTGCCGCCGCCGCCCAGCGCTGCCCCGATAACGATAAAGATACGATGTGACAAAGGTGCCGAACTCAACGTCGGCCGTCGGCGGCCGCGGGGCCGCGGCCGAGGGGGTCCCCGCGGCGCGACCGCGCGCCCCGCCACGCCCCGCCCCGCCCCTCCCCGGGCGGCTACGCGCCCTCCCCGGGCGACGAGAGAGCAACACTCCTCCCCGAGACTCCGCCTCGTCCTACGGTCGCGCGCGTCAGTCCTCGACGGCGCGGTAGCCGAGGTCGTTGTGGCAGGCCTTCTCCTTCTCCGTGCCCACGGATAGGATGTTGCACATGGTGTAGGTGTTGTCGACGATGTTGTGCGCGTGTCTGTCCGCCGTGAGGAGGGACTGCGTCGTGTTCTTGATCGCGACGTGCATGTCTCCCGTGACGCGGAGCAGGCTCCTCGTCGAGTTGCTGAGGAAGTGCATCTGGTCCAGCGCGCTCGACGTCGTCGTCTTCACGCGCTCCATCTCGCCGCTCATGTGCTTGAGCGCCGCGTAGCCGTGGACGCAGAGCCCCGCGAGCGTGACGTTGAGCGTGCAGAGCAGGCAGACGACGAGCAGGAGCAGGAGGTGGAGCCGCCGCGCGTCGTCGCGGGGCTCCTGCTTCCGCGCCGTCGACGCCGTCAGGGGCAGCGACAGCTCCTCGTTCTGGATGCCCGTCGACATCGCGTATTCTATTCTTCAAAAAGGCCGAGGTGCACCATGGGCTGCTGGCAATAGCAGTGCGATCGCCAACATCGGCTCACACGCCTGTGGTAACACACTTCCACGGCGTGTGGCAGCGTCGCGGCGCGCATCGCCCGCGCCGCGCCGCCGCGCATCGCCCGCGCCGCGCCGCCGCCATGGCCACGGCGACGCAAGCGACGATGTCCGCGGGCGCGCTGTCCGGCTTCTGCCAGGTGCTGGCCGAGCAGCCCTTCGACACGATCAAGGTGCGCCTGCAGTCGCGGGCCCTGGCCTTCGACGCCTTCCTCGGCCCGGCGGCGCTCGTCCGCCACACCTACGCCGCCGAGGGCACGCGGGCCTTCTTCCAGGGCGTGACGCCGCGGCTCGCGACCTACAGCGGCGTCAAGGCGTCGCTCTTCGCGCTCTTCGAGGCCTTCCGGGAAAAGACCGGCAGCGTCGCCCTCGCGGGCGCGGCCGCGGGCGGGCTCAACACGGCGATCAGCTGCCCCCAGGACGTGCTCAAGAGCCGGCTCCAGGTCCAGGTCGCCTCCGGGCCGGGCCACTACCTCGGGCCCCTCGCGACGGCGAAGCTGTTGCTCGAGGCGCGCGGCGTCGCGGCGTTCTACGCGGGCTGGCTGCCGCTCGTCTGCCGCGACGTGCCGGGCTACGCGCTCCTCTACAGCGTCTACGTCGCCGGCACGGAGCGGCGCCTGCCGACGGCGCTCGTCGGCGCCGCGTCGGGTTTGGCGTTCTACGTGAGCACGCTGCCCGTGGACCGCGTCAAGACGGTCATGATGACGCAGCCCCTGGACCGGCCGGCCTTTTCCAGCGCCCGCGCGGCGTTCCTGGAGATCTACGCCGCCAACGGCATCCTCGGCTTCTACCGCGGCTGCGGCCCGACGCTCGCGCGGACCGCGTGCGGCCAGGCCGTCGCGCTCTCCGTCTACGACTGGGCGTCGCGGCGGGCGCGGTAATTAATTTTTCGGTCGAGGCTCGTTACGCGGCGCCCTAGAGCTTCGTGATCTGGCAGCCGCCCGCGGGGACCGCGGTGACGCAGATCCGCGTTTTTCGCCCGTTCACCTTCTGCTCGCACGTGCCGCACTGGCCGTTCTCGCAGTTGAACCTGTGAATGGTGTGCGTCGGGGTGCGTGATAGTGCGCGGCCAAGACGCGGCTCGGCGCGCCTGATGGGCGCGCGGGACGCGCGGACGATGTCCTTGAGCCGCTGGCCGGGCATCGCCTGCATGGGCTTGCCGAGGACCTTGACCTCGACGGTCTGCGCGGGAATGGGTGTCACGCACCGCGCCGCCGTTCCCTCCGGCGTCGTCGGCGCTCTCTCGAACCGGCGCGCGCGGCGCGGCGGGACGTCGACTCGACGCGGATCGCCGATGAAGGACGCATCGCGCGCCGTTCCCTCCGGCGTCGGCGTTCTCTCGAACCGGCGCGTGCGGCGCGGCGGGACGTCGCCGTTCTCTCCGGCGTCGTCGGCGTTCTCTCGAACCGGCGCGCGCGGCGCGGCGGGACGTCGACTCGACGCGGCGGCGCGCCTTCTTCTTCGCGACGCCGCCGGCGTCGGGCTTCTTGCCCAGGTCTTCGTTCTTAAAGGCATTGTCGAAGAATCCCATCGACAGCGCCGACGTCGAGCGCGTCGACGGCGCCGCCGCGCGCACGGCCAGCGGCGAGGAGTGCGGCACGAAACCTTGCACCTAAGCGTCGCGAGTGATGGATCGAAGCGGTTGAAAATCGGCAGGAGGGTTGCTGGGGATGGAACGGAGCTGCCGAGGTGGTCGGGTTGCTTACCGAGACGGTGAGAGCCGCGATTAGGAGGGCTTTAATTGCGTCCATGTCAGCTTCTGGCTGACTGAGTGACTCCGGACGTCAACAACAGGTTCCTACCGAGCCGATGTTGAGCCACGCTGCGCCGACGCCAGCAAGGGGTTAACCAGCGCCGCGCCGTGGTCCACGATCGGTCCCTGGGGCCCGCACAAAAACGCGCAGAAAGAATCGCCACCAGCTGCGTCCCAAAGCGCGACCCTCCGGGCGCGCGCGGGCAACCCGGCAGCCGCCGACTCCAACAATATGCTTATATACACCCGCCCTACATCTTCGTGATCGCGCAGCCGCCCTGCGGCACCGACGTGACGCACAGGCGCGTCTTGCGCCCGTTGACTTTTCTCTCGCACGTGCCGCACTTGCCGTTCTCGCAATTGAACCTGCGGCGCGGGCGGCGCTCGGGAGGGGCCGCTCGACGCGGTCGGGACGCGGCGGGCCGCACGAGATGGGCGCGCGGGACGCTCGGACGACGTCCTTGAGCCGCTGGCCGGGCAGGGCCTGCATGGGCTTGCCGAGGACCTTCACCTCGACCGTCTTCTTCTGCGCGCCTCCCGCGGGCTTCGCCGCCCCCATGTCCTCGTTTTTGAACGCGTTGTCGAAGAAGCCCATGCGCAGCGTCGTCGTTCGCTGCGTTGGTCGCGCGGGCGCCGACAGCCGCGACGGCCGCGCGCCAAAGGCGTCGACCTAGGAGCGGAGCGGTGCGGCGCGACGGCGCTGGGCCCGCGCGACCTCGCACGGCGCGCGGCCCGGAGCGCGCGATGAACGCTGGCGTACGCACCGAGGCGTGAAGGGCGGCGACGGCCGCGAGGGCAGAACACAAGCTCCAGCGCAGCATCGTCGATCTGATCCTGACTGGTCTCGCCTCGGAGGCTCTCCAGCGTGAGCCGCGCCGACACGTGCACGGTGGTTTGCGCCTCCTCTCAAACTTTTGCCTTCACCATCCTTCCTGCGCGTCGTCCATTCGGCTGCCCTCCCGCGCCGTCGTCCATCTGCTGCCCATCACCCGACCCGCGCCGTCGTTCATCCCCAAAACCCGCGCCGTCGTCCTTCATACCATGCCCATCCGTCGAAAACCGATCACCAGCAGCTGTACGCCGGCGATCCCCGAAACTCTGGAGGACGCCAAGGGCTGCAAGGTGTACATCGATACCGTGGCGAACCAGTGCTGGCTGACGGCCGAGACGGAGCCCAACGGCAACGTCTGGTCGCAGAAATCTGTGCCGATGACTCTGGCGGCCCGGGGCGTGGGCGCGGAGCTGGGACGCGCTCGTGGGCGACCTCCTCCGCCTCCCGTCCGTGGGGCTCGCCCCGAAAGAGTGCGTCCTCGCGGCGACGCTGGGCTGCCCGTGCTACGTTTGCCCGCTCGTCTCTGGGTCGCACAGGACGTGCCTCGGCGACGGACGGCGGGGGGCCTGGATCGAGCTCGCGAACGCCGTCTGCCTGCGGCACGCGCCGGCGTTCGCCGCGCACGGCGTCTCGCTCGAGGCGGCGGCGGCGACGGACGCCATCTCCGTGGTCCACGTCGAAGAGCAAGAAGGCGTCGCCGACCGGCGGGGACACCGAAACGGAGGCATGGGGGCGCACGATATTCCCTGGGAAGGGACCTGCATCGAGTTCTCCTGGCCGCCGCCGGCGACGGCGATCGTGCGACGCGAGGTGCCCCCGCCCCCGCCGACGACGGCCGCGCGCCTCAAGGGAGTGTTCGGGGGACCAGCGCCGCCGCCGCCGGAGCCGACGTACGTCTGGGAGACGCTGCCGCTCGGTCCGGCGGACGCGCGCTGCGCGCGGGCGCCCGTGCCGCCCGGGACCGCGCCCGGCGCGCGGCTCCAGGTCGCCTTCCCGCACGGGATCCAGCAGGCGCCGAGAGCGCGCGCGAGCCCAAGTGGTTCGCCGACGGGCTATTCGGTCGCCTTCCAGGTGCAGGTGCCGGATCCGCCGCCGACGATGCTTCTCGTGCAGCTCCCGTCGATGGACGACCTGCGGTTCACGCCGCATGACCCGTCGCTGCCGACGATAGAATCCGTCCCCGCGCCGACGCTCCAGGAGCTCGCGGCGGGGACGCGGCTCGCGGCGCCGGCCGCGCCGCAGATGAGCCGCGACGTCGTGGGCCACGTCGTCGGCGTGCCCGGCGCGAACCCCGTCGTCGTCGGGGCATGCGCCGCGCCGCCCGCGGCCCAGGTCGTCGACGTGCAGCCGCCCGAGCAGGAGATGGTCCCCGCCACGACGCTGCAGGTCCCCGCGGGCGCGGGGCCCGGCTCCGTCGTCTCGTACACGCTCCCCGACGGGCGCGCCGTCGCGGTGACCATCCCGCCGAACCTCAAGCCCGGGGACCGCTTCCCCTTCGACCCCCCTCGATGACAAGAACCGAACGAGCGCGAGTTAGAACAGACCCCTAGGCGTGGTGCGAGATCGTCGACAGGTCGACGCCGAGCTCGGCCTGGAGCGGCGCGAGCTTCGAGTCGAGGAGCGCCGCGGCCTTGGCCTCGTCGAGGTGCTCCGCGGCGTTTTCCGGATCATCCAAACCCGCCGCGAGCTCGCAGACGATGTCCCACTGGACCTTGCCGAGCTGGAGCGCGTCGTCGTACTGGACGCCGCCCGGCTGGCGGCCGCCGCCGTAGCAGACCATCGCGTAGCGGCTCCGGAACCGCGACCCGAGCGCCGAGTTCTCGAGCGCGTTCTCGACGGCCTTGGCCTTGCGGAAGTCCGGGTCCCCCGTCCGGTCCATCATCTCGACGTAGTTCTCCAGCGCCATGTCCGCGATCGCGTTCGCGTTTCGCTTGCGTTTTGCCTCGTACTCCGCGAACGCGCCCGCGAAATCCGGGGCCGCCGACCCCGGCGGCGCCTTGGCCTCGAGCAGCGCGCAGAGCACGTCGACGTCCTCGAAGCCGCAGTTCATGCCCTGGCCGAAGAAGGGCACGATCGCGTGCGCCGCGTCGCCGACGAGCGCCAATTTGCCCCCGAACGCCCACGTCTTCGTCCGCACGGTGCCTAAAATGCCCCGCGGGTTCTTCACGAGCTGCTCCGCGGCGCGCTTCGCGCCGCCGAGGTGCGCGAGCGCGTCCCCGTACGCCTCCTCGAGGAACTTCTCCGCGGCCTCGACGCCGCCGTTTTCCAAACTCGCGAACGTCGCGCCGTCGCCCTCGTTGACCATGTAGATCGTCCCCGTGAAGGACCCGTCGAGGTTCGCGAGGGCCATGAGGAAGTGCGTGCCCCGGGGCCAGATGTGGAGGCCGTGCGTCTCCAGGGACGTGCCCTTGGGGAAGAGCATCTCCTTGTAGCCGCTGTCGAGGAGCGCCTCCGTCGCGACGTCGCCGAGCGCCTTCCGCACGCCGCTGCCGCCGCCGTCGCAGGCGAGCACGGGGCCGAGGCACGTCACGTCGAAGGCGCCGTCGCCCTTGTCGAAGGTCAGCGTGACGCCCTCCGGGTCCACGCCGACGAGCCGGTGGCCGAAGCGGATCTCCGCGCCCGCCCGCTCCGCCTCCGAGAGGAGGAACTTGTTGAGCTCGTAGCGCGAGATGCTGTAGTTGAACTCGCTGTCGTCCTTGCCGTAGCGCTGGAACAAGGCCTCGCCGTCCGTCGTGTGGATGACGCGGCCCGTGACCTTGGTGCCGAGTTGTAGGAGCCTCTCGCAGACGTCCGGCGGAAGCGCGCGCAGCGCCCGCAAGCCCCGCACCGTCGCGACGAGGTTGATGGACCGGCCGACGCTCGGGATGGCGCGGATGTCGCCGTAGCGCTCGAAGATGCGCACGTCGTAGCCCTTGCTCCGCAGCACCACCGCGAGCAGGCTGCCGACGAGGCCGGCGCCGACGATGGTGATGGACGTCTCGCCGTCGGCGTAGGGCGCGGGCTTCGAAGCGAAGAGGCCCATGTTTTGTTGCAGGCGGGTGTGCGCGTGTGGTCTGCGCCGGCAGCGCGCGACGGTCGAAGCACCGCTCTGCGCCTGTGCTGGTGGCTTCAAGCAAAAAGCTCGCCGAATATTACCGCAGCATGGCGTCCGTGACCGCGAGCGCGCGCGCGCTGCCGTGCTTCGCCGCCGTCGAGGCGCACGCGACGTCCCTGGGCACGACCGTCGCGTCGCCCGACTTCCCGGCGAAAGCCGACGCCGCCGACGAGCTGCGGCCCTTCCGCGACAAGTTCCTCTTTCCGGCGGCCGACGCCGCCGGGCGGCCGAGCGTCTACCTCTGCGGGAACTCGCTGGGCCTCCAGCCCGCGTCGACGAAGCAAGCCGTGCTCGCGGACCTCGACCGCTGGGCGGCGCTCGGCGTCGAGGGCCACTTCGAGGACGAGCCCGGGAAGCCGAATCCGGGCGTCGCGTGGTGGACGATCGAGGATTTGGCCGAGGCCGAGGCGGCGCGCCTCGTCGGCGCGGAGCCGGGCGAGGTCGTCATCATGAACTCGCTCACCGTGAACCTGCACCTGCTGCTCGGCGCCTTCTACCGGCCGGACGGCGCGCGCGAGGTGATAGTCGTCGAGGACATGGCGTTCCCCTCGGACGAGTACGCGGTCCAGTCCGTCGTGCGGCACCACGGCCGCGACCCGGCGGCGTGCATCGTGCGCGTGCCCCACGGCGCCGACTTCGCCGCGGCGGTCGCGGAGCTCGGGGACCGCTGCTGCGTCGTCCTGGTCGGCGCGCTGCAGTACTACAGCGGCGAATGGTACGACGCGAAGGCGCTGGCCGACGCGGCCCACGGCGCCGGCGCTGTGCTGGGCCTCGACTGCGCCCACGCCGCGGGCAACGTGCCCCTGGCCCTCCACGCCGACGGCGTCGACTTCGCGTGCTGGTGCTCCTACAAGTACCTCAACTCCGGGCCGGGCGCGCTCGCGGGCGCGTTCGTCCACGACAAGCACGACACGCGGGCCCTCGACGGCGCCCTGCGGGGCTGGTGGGGCAACGAGCGGTCGAGCCGCTTCCGCATGGCCCGGGAGCCCGAGTTCCGCGCGGGCGCGCCGGGCCTCCAGCTCAGCAACCCGCCGACGCTGCCCATGGTCGCGCTCAAGGAGGCCTACGCGCTCCACGACGCGGCGACCATGGCGAAGCTCCGGGCCAAGTCCCTCGCGCTCACGGGCTACCTCGAGGTGCTGCTCGCGCAACTGCTCCCGCCGGGGAGCCACGACCAGGTCACGCCGCGCGACCCGGCGCGCCGCGGCGCGCAGCTCTCGCTCCTCTTCGCGCCGCCGACGGACGTCGACGCCGTCTTCGCCGAGCTCCGGAAGCGCAACGTCTTCGTCGACCTGCGCCGGCCCAATGTCATCCGCGTCGCGCCCGCGCCGCTCTACAACGGCTTCGCCGACGTCCGCGCGTTCGTCGACTGCCTCGCCGAGGCCCTCGCGGCCCAGAAGACGTAGCGTGGACTGTAGCAAAACTTGGGGGCGGCGGGGCGCGCGACTTTTGGGCGCCGGCGGCCGCGGGGGCCCTAGGCGCCGCCCTTGGCGTGCCTCGCGAGGAAGTTCGAGGTCTTCGCGAGCTTCAGCGCCGCGAGCTCGCGCTCGAGCTCCGCGTTCTTCGCCTCGGACGCGCTCAGCAGCTTGCGGAGCTCCTCGACCTCGATCTGCGCCTCCATGACCGTCGACGCGCGGCGGTGGTCCTGGCCGAGCGGCTTGGGCTTCGAGCCGCTCGGCGGGCCGCCCTGGTGGATGCGGTTGTGGTTCGCGTTGTCGAGGCGGCGCACCCAGTCGTTGAGGCCGTTGGACAGCTCCTGGCGCAGGTCGTTCTCGCCTTTTAGTAAAACTTCGGGCAGCCACATGATCGACTCCTCGTCGAGCTCCGGGAGCTCCGCGGGCACGAGCTCCTTGAGCGTCTGGAGGAGCAGGGCCACGTTGCCCTGGTCCTTGAGCACGTTCATGAGCGTCGCGCACTGCGTCGCGAAGCTGTCGTTCATGTTCACGGAGTCGCCCTCGTTGATGACGAACATCATCTCCGGCGTCAATACCAACTTCGTCTTCTCGCGCTTGATGCCCGTGCCCTTGATCTTCTTGAAGTGGCCCAGGACGTGCCCAAAGTCGATGTGGAAGAGCCGCCCGTCCGTGCTCAGCATGATGTTGCCGTTGTGCCGGTCCGCGATGCCCAAAACGTACGTCGAGACGCAGCACGCGGCGCACGACGCGCAGAACCGCTCCTGCGCGCCCTGGTACATCTTCGGGTCGTCGTTGTGCTCCACGAGGTAGGAGTTGAGCGTGTTGTTCTGGAAGGCGCCCATGGCGCCCGAGCCCCAGACGGACTGGATCTCCGCGGTCTCCTTGGCGCCGCGGACGACCTCGATCCAGCCGACGTCGACGTCCGTCGCGGCGACGGTGTAGGTGCGGAGCCAGCACTCGTGGCCCGCGTTGAGCCACAGCGCGTCCATCTGGCGCATGGACTGGAGCATGGCCGCGTCCTGGCGCAGGTCGTCGCGCGTCTTGAAGATGGCGAGCTGCTTCGGCTGGCCCGGCCCGTCGCGGACGCCGAACTCCGCGTCGTCGAAGATGAGGAGCATGGGCGCGGCCTTGGAGCTGAGCACGCGGCACTTGTCCGGGCAGATGCGGCCCACGCGCTTGCCCGGCATGCAGGGCAGGTCCATGCCCGCGGGCAACTCGCCGGCCCGCGAGAGGCGCCGGAGCTCGCGCTGCGCGAAGGACGTGCGCTGCGACTTGTCGTCCATGTCCGCCGCCGCCGCCGTGATGTTCCGTAAAATCTTGTCGAGCACGACCTGCTTCTCGAGCTCGGACCGCGCCGACGGGCCGCACGCGCCCAAGTAGGCCGCGAGGACCGCGCCGTGCTTCGCCGCGCACCGGCCGCCCTTGGACATCTCGCTGCGCAGGGCCCAGAAGACGGAGGCGCCGACGTAGGGCGGGTTCATGAGCGCCCGCGCGAGGAGGAACTTGGCCACGGCCTCGGCGCCCTCGGGCCGCTTGAGCGCCTGGACCAATTGCGGCACGTACGTCTCCAGCGTCGCGTCGGGCAGCTGCTCGAGCTTGGCGACGTTCGGCGGCTTCTCGCGCAGCGCCTGGGCCATCTCGTTGGAGCCCAGGGGCCGCTCGAGGTCGAAGGCCGCGCCCAGGCGGGCCCGCGCCTTCGCGAGCTCCGCGGTCTCCTCGGGGAGGAGATTCGCCTCGAGGACGACGCCGACGGTCGGCACGGGCTTCACGGAGTCGCGCAGCGCGAAGACAACGTCCGCCGACGCGATGAGGGGCGCGTCGAGGAGCGCGAGGTAGGACCGCTTGCCCGCGACCTTGAGCACGCAGTCGTCGCGCGTCGCCGTGACCTTGGCCGGCGGCGGCGGCGGCGGCGGCGCCGCGGCCGCGTCGCCGCCGCCGCCCGCGGGGAAGGGCGGCGGCGGCTTGGCGTTGCGCGCCGCGAGCTTCTTGAGCACCTCGTCCAACAGCTCGCCCACGGTCTCGTCGCCCGTGCAGGGCACGCCGATCTTCGTCTCGAACGTCGGCGGCAGCGCGAC